ATAATAATAAATGAGAGCGAGAAAGGACATAAATTACTGATAAAAGAATGGGCGAACCTCCAAGTGGAAACGATTGACTTATAAATTTCGTACAACATTACCGGAGCATGTTCTACCGTCTCCCTGCCAACCATCTTTACACTTGCACTGTCGGCGTTTTTCGGAAAACGATCGGAGACATTCGGCATTCGGGTCGCAAACTACTCCTTCACAGGTGCCATCCGCTAAAAGGATTTGAATGAAAAATCAAAAATATATATTAACAGACACACTAGACTACCATTGGGTGAAACTTGAATATGATGATGCCTACTTTTGCTAAATTTAGCAGAGAGGTGCACTGAAGCTACAAAAAGAGCAATAAAATTAGCTGCGAACGCTCAAGGTTGTGTTGTCAAGTTGAGAAAGCCTGGCAGAAGTTTTCAAATTGTGTCGACGTTTTAGCTGTTCTCCCTTCGTCAGTTAACTTAATATTTTCATCCTGGTATGCGAGCGGAGGTACTCAGTCTTAATTTTAGCACTTCTGTGGCAATGTCCCTTTAAAATCACCAAAGGGATTTTAATCCCAAAGATTGTCCTAGAGATAGACGAAAACAGCATTTTTTTTATTTAAACCTTAACAATCTGAAACATTATCAAGTAAATGATTGTAAAATTACTCCTAGATACCACAAGTCTACTTTAATCTCCTTGCCGATCCAAGCAGAACATCGGTGACATAGTGTCATTTAACCAAACAGAGAAAATATTACGGAGGAATTAACACTGAACAAAATGTGACTCACAGACGCAAGTAAAACCGTCTCCTTGGTAACCAGGTCTACATCGACACTCATATGAGCCCTCGGTGTTTAAGCACTCAGCTTCTAAGGAACAATTGTTCTTGAATGGTTTACATTCGTTTATATCTGAACAGAATAACAAGACAATGTTAGATCCTTTGATTCGTTGATGATTTCCTAATTCTTATGGGAAGTTACATCTACGGAAAGAAGCGAACAATGTCGAACACCTTCCGCCGATGCAATCCATCGCGTTCGTTTAATTTCCATTGGTTCGCTTCTGTTACGTTCATATGGACAGAAGTTTAGCTGGTTTTAGGTGCGTTGCGCCCTCGACGCTTTCCGCAGACGCTAACCATCATACGCGTTTGTTATTTTATTTCACTCATAAACATGTAGGACCAGTTGAAGTTATAAGCATTGTATAGCCTTACCGGAGCATGTTTTACCGTCTCCCTGCCAACCGTCTTTACACTTGCACTGTCGGCGTCCTTCGGGAAACGATCGCAGACATTCGGCATTTGGGTCGCAAACTAGTCCTTCACAGGTGCCATCCGCTGAAAGGATTTGAATTAAATATTAAAAATATATCAACAGGCTACTATCATAAGCAAAGCTTCGAAAAAGTCAGATCCCGAAAGACATCTTATCATTGATTTAAACCTTAACATAAAGATTTACTTTTGTTAAATTTACTAATTAAGTGTACAGAAGCTACAAAAGGAGCGATCTAATTCGTTACAAATGCTCAAAGTTGTGATGTCAAATTGAGAGAGCCTGGCAGAAGTTTTCATTTTGAGTCGACGTTTACGTGGTCCCCCCTTCATCAGTTAATTTAACGTTTCCATCTTGGTGTTTTGGGGCACATTTCAATGGTGTGTTCGAGCTAATTATAAGGACTCAGTTATAATTTTAGCACTTCTGTGGCAGCAACATCTCTTTAATATTACTGTAAGGATGTTAATCCAAAGATTATTCAAAGAGACAGAGGGAAAAAGCAATTTTTTGAATCATCTTACAAGCAATCTCAAACATTATCAAGAAAACGATTGCAAAGTTGCTCCTCGATAATATATTCTATCTAAATCTCCCTGCTGACCCCAGCAGAACATTGCCGACATAGTGTCATTTACAATACAGAAGACTTATCAACGAAATTAAGACACAACAAAACGTTACTCACAGACGCAGGTGAAGCCGTCTCCCTGGTAACCAGGCCTACACCGACACTCATATGAGCCCTCGGTATTTAAGCACTCAGCTTCTAAGGAACAGTTGTTCTTGAATGGTTGGCACTCATTTATATCTGAACAGAATAACAAGATGACGTTACATCCTTAGATTAGTTGATAATTTCCTAATTCTTATGGGAAGTTACATATACGGAAAGAAGCGAGCAACGTCGAACACCTTCCGCAGAAGCAATCCATCGCGTAAATTTAATTTCCATTGGTTCGCTTCTGGTACGTTCGTATGGAGGGAAGTTTAGCTGGTTTCAGATACGTTGCGTGCTCAACGCTTTCCGAAGACGTTAGACATCATACGCGTTCCCTATTTTATTCGACTCGTAAACATGTAGAACCAGTTGAAGTTATAAGCATTGTATAGCCTTACCGGAGCATGTTTTACCGTCTCCCTGCCAACCATCTTTACACTTGCACTGTCGCCGTCCTTCGGGAAACGATCGGAGACATTTGGCATTGGAGTCGCAAACAACTCCTTCACAGGAGCCATCCGCTGAAAGGATTTAAATTAAATAATAAAAGTATATCAACAGGCTACTACATTAGCAAAGCTTCGAAAAAGTCGATCACATCCCGAACGACATCTTGTCATTGATTTAAACCTAAACATAATGATCTACTTTTGTTAATTTACTAAATAAATGTACGGAGGCTACAAAAAGAGTGATATAATTAGTTACATATGCTCAAGGTTGTGATGTCAAATTGAGAGAGCCTGGCAGACGTTTTCAAATAAGTCGACGTTTACGTAGTCCCCCCTTCATCATTTGACTGAATATTTCCAACTCAGCTTGGTGGTTTGGGGGAACATTTCAGTGGTGTGTGCGAGCCAATTATAAGGTACTCAGTTATTCTTTTTAGTACTTATGTGGCTAAAGATGTAGCAACATTTCTTTAATAGAACTATAAGGATTTTAATCCAAAGATTATCCAAAGAGATAGAGATAAATAACAATTTTTGATAATTCTTACAAGTAATGTCAAACATTGTCAGGAAAACGACTGCAAAATTGCTCCATAATATAGTCTACCTAAATTTCCTTGCCGACCTGAGTAAAACTTTAGCGACATAGTAAAATTTACAGTACGGCGAAATTATTACAGGTTAATAAAGACTGAACAAAACGTGACTCACAGAAGCAGGTGAAGCCGTTTCCCTGGTAACCAGGCCTGCATCGACACTCATATGAGCCCTCGGTGTTTAAGCACTCAGCTTCTAAGGAACAGTTGTTCTTGAATGGTTCGCACTCGTTTATATCTGAATGGAATAGCAAGACAATGTTAGATCCTTTGACTAGTTGATGATATGCTTATTCTTACGGACAGGTACTTCTGCGGATAGAAGCAAACAATGTCGAACACCCTCCGCAAATCAGAATGCAAGCCATGGCATTAGTTTAATTTCCATTGGTTCGCTTCTGTTACGTTCATATGGGGGGAGTTTAGCTTGTTTTAGGTAGGTTGCGCCCTCGGCGTTTTCCGTAGATGCTAGCCATCATACGCATTCGCTATTTTATTTCACTCATAAAACATGTTGGACCAGTTGAAGTTATAAACATTGTATAGCCTTACCGGAGCAGGTTTTACCGTTTCCCTGCCAACCATCTTTACACTTGCACTGTCGCCGTCCTTCGATAAACGATCGGAGACATTCGGCATTGGAGTCACAAACTACCCCTTCACAGGAGCCATCCGCTGAAAGGATTTAAATTAAATATTAAAGGATCACTTTCAAGAGCAGAGCTTCAAAATTTAAAATTCGAAAAACAATTTTTTATGTAACAGAACGGTCTACGTTTGTCAAATTTACCACATTACTGAGAGCATTGAAGCTATAAAAAGAGCGATATAATAAGATACGTATGCAGAAGACTGGGATGTCAAATTGATTAAGCCTGGAAGGTTGGAAAAATCTGTCGCCTTAACAATCTGTTTTCTCTTGATCAGTTAACTTAACAATTTCATATGGTGCTTTCGAGGAACGTTTGGTTTACGAGCGAAGGTACACAGTCATAATTTTAGCACTTTGATGGCCAGTGATGTAGCAATGTTCCTTTAATGGAACTGTAGGAATTTAAATCCTAAAGATTATCCAAAAACGATAGAGTGGTGGACGAAAAAAGCATTAGAAAAAGTCTTTCACACAATCTAAATAAAATCAAAAAAACCATTGGAAAATTCCTCATCCTTAGTACAATCTACCTAAATCCCTTTGCAGAACCTCAGCAGCACAACATACTGTCATTTCATTTCAAAAAAAAGACTGAAAAAAAAAAACGAGACTCACAGACGCAGGTAAAACCGTCTCCTTGATAACCAGGCCTACATCGACACTCATATGAGCCCTCGGTGTTTACGCACTCAGCGTCTAAGGAACAGTTGTTCTTAAAGGGTTTACACTCGTTTATATCTGAACAGAATAACAAGACAATGTTAGATCCCTTGATTAGCTGGTAATTCTACATCTCTCATACGCAGGTACATATACGGATGGAAGTGAACAACGTCGAACAATTCCCAGAAATGTAAGCTGTCCCATCAGTTTAATTTCCATTGGTTAGCCTTTGTTACGTCACAAGAGTTAGGCTGGTTTTAGATACATTGCACGTTCAATTTTTCCCGCAGACGCTAATCAACATGCGTGTTCTTTACTGATTTTACTTCACCCAAGCATGCACAGCATGTTGGTGCCCACATATACACTACACGTTCCAATAACGTATTGAGGAAATAAAACGATACAATGATAACCTCTGAACTCTTTCCTACTGGTCTCTTTAGTTTCCAGACTAAATGGTTACAAGTGTCCTAGCCCAATTTCGATATAATAAAATTCTAACTTTGCACCGAGGCTTAGGGAGAATGAAACAAAAGAAGTTGCGTCGAGGTTGAGGGATGAATAATGAATTTCTTTTGTTTTATCCTCCTAGGCCTCGGAGCTAAGCTAGAATTTTAGTATAGCGAAATTTGCCTATTAAAGACGTAGTGCTGTGACTTAGTTGGCCCTAGTGCTTTGATCACTTCATGTTTACAGTTTCAAGATACTGACCAAAGCAGGTTTGGCCATCTCCATTCCAGCCTTTGTTACACGAGCAACGCTGTTGTCCTTCATCAAAAACACATTCCGCGTTCAAGTCACAAAGTTTTCCAGCACAACTGCCATCCGCTAGTGAAGGAAAAATGAAGAAAATGTAATTAATAACAGCTGAATACTTTCTTTGGGGTATGTTGTGATAAAAAATTTATTTGTTTGCAAAAGTCAGGCCGAGGCTGTCGGGCTTAGTAAACAAATCAGCACGGCGAGTTAGAAAACGTCAACCTGGTATTTTAGGATGTATATGGGACGTGGAATTGACAGACATCATTGGCAAGGACATGCCGGTATATGTATTCTGTTTCAAAAAGGAAGAGAGTAAAGGCAGGTACACAGTTGAACCCAAGAAGGAGAAGGGGCAATTCGTGAAGAGGTTGATAGCGGAACACAGATGAAGCTTTGCGAAACACGTGGTAACTTCATACAGCGAACGGTATGTTAAACTAATGAATTACTTGGTGACGACCTTATCGCACGACAACAAAAGATCGAGTCAGTATGAGCAAAGAACCAGCAAGCTTGCGATGGATTACGTAGAGGAAAGACTTTCTTTTCTGTTTGTGTTCACTTACAAGTACAGTTGAAGCCATTTCCCTTGAACCCGGCCTTGCAACGGCATTGGTATGAGCCCTCAGTGTTTGAACAGTCAGCATTGCGGTCGCATTCCCTTTCGTTTGCCTGGCACTCGTCTATATCTAAGAAAGATTAAAAGCAACGATTTATAGTAGTATCGAAGATCTGCACGTACGTATGTTCGAGAGGAGTGCTTATCAGTTAGCTCCTCCGAAGACCAACAGCCGAGAGTGATCAACATTAATTCATCCTTGCAAAGCAAGCATTTTGAAGGAGGCACGTGACAGGAATAATCGGAGAGAAGAACTTCTTTTTTAACATTTTTCGGCGAGCAACAAGTCAAAGATGGTCCAGTGAAACAGCATTTGGTTTCCCACAGGATTTTCCCTACAAATGGAAAGCCTCCCCTGATCACATACCATAACAGGTTCGTCCGTCTCCTTGCCAACCTTCCTTACAAACACACAATCGTCGTCTGCTAGGAACGAATTCAATACACTCTGCATTTGGATGACATCTGGTTCCTTCACATTTATCCGAATCAGCTGAAGGGAAAAGGACGAAGAGAAAAATAAAAAGCTTGAACAACGCACCATACAAGCGCACTACAAACAAGTGTTTTTCAAAATTTAACCTTTTTACGGAGGGTTTTAAACGCTACACTTCTTTGGGCAGTTCAGGTCACTTATTTGAGTTCTTTAAAACAGAACGAAGCAATGTTAAGGCCGTTTTACTGGTATAACTATACTTTTTTCTTTGTATCGCATAACGCCCTAAAATAGAGTGACCTAGTACTTTAAAAAGTGACAATTAAACGTAGCTCGCTATACACAAGTAATTATGGAAATCCAGGAGAACAACTCGATCTAAAGATCGCTGGATAGCGCTCAATTTGTCCACTGACACGATCCGAGGAGAACTTGCAAACCATTGCATGCAACAAAACTTGCAAAACGAGGCTCTTATGGAAGTTGAAATCCAATATAACAAAGACTCACAGACGCAGTCATATCCGTCTCCCTGGAAACCAGGTCTACACCGGCATGAGTATGAACCCTCGGTATTGACGCATTCACCATCTCTATGGCAACTGTTCATGAAAGGCTGACATTCGTCTATATCTGTGGATGAAAGCAACAAGGAAACGCTTGATTTTGGCTTCAAAGCTGGCAGCAAATTTTTCAACTTCACGAAAAACACGCCGGAGGGTCAGCTTCGACTCAAACCTTGTCATGAAGGTTTTACATGATGCTAGAAGAGAATGCTAGGATCAGAAAATGTTGCAAGAAAAAATGTTTCAATACCAAGGCAGGTTTGGCCATTTCCAGTCCATCCTGGATTGCAAACGCACTGCCGCATTTCACCGGATGAAGGCTGGGAACAATTAGCGTTGGCATCGCAGACTACTCCACCACATTTCAAGTCGGCTGCTAGGAAAAAAAAAAGAAAGGAGGAAGAATCATAACAGAGAGAAATCTTAAAATACCGATTTGAACCGCATCATTGGTTTCTATTTCTTTACAGAATAGGTTATGCTATAAGCAATCAAATTTAATCCATCGCCTCCTCGAGCATGCGCGCCGTTACAAGCCCTAGGTGGTTATACACTAGACATAACATGACACTTCCGCTTTAACTAATCATATTCAATGATATCCGAAAGCTAATACTTAGAGAGCTAAGGTTGAGTTTCCCATCACAGAATGGTCGTGTATATCTTGTTTTTCTTAGCCGGTTTTCAAGATTCAACTTATTTCACTAATTCTTGCCATAATTACTAAGTTTCAAATTATTTTTCCAGTTTCCCATTTTCCTAAAGATAGTCACATCGACTACAGGCACTCCCTAACTACGGGTTCCTTCTGATCGTCGCATGCTGCCCTACTAAACCAAACCCTTGTTAATTTGCTTTCCTGTTATCGAATTTGCTAATATCACACTAAAACTCCCTGTCAACATCCTTAGAGGTACGTAAGAAGAAGAAAGATTAAAACGCAAATGGCTTCGCTTTTTTTCTGACCTTCACAAGTCTTTCCGTCACCCTGCCAGCCATCTTTGCATACACACTGACCAGGTTTTTCAGGTGACGGTTTAAAACAAGTGGCGTTGACATCGCATTGGACTCCATCACAGGTACCATCAGCTGAAAAAGGGAAATGAAATTCAGGTAAACCGAATATCGACTGCAAAACAAATGCAGTACCCTTACTTTACTGATTTCCTACACGGTCAAATTAGAGAAACTTAGAACTGTATTACTCAGGTCTGGTGGTAATGATTTCGTCTGGTAGCTTGATTGGTAGAGAGAGACACAAAACGCGGATGACTTGTATTACACGACAACTGTTTGATAGGGGGAAAATAATAAGACAGCACCAGAAAGATTGTTTTCGTTTTTTGTTTGTTTTCTTTGTTTAATTGCTGTTTCGTTACTTCTTAGCTACTCTTGGCCAACAGACGAGCGAGGTAAAAAGCAACTTCAACAGTGTTAAGCCCTTCTGTAAACAGAAAAACAGACAGACGAAAATGTTACCAGCGCCATTTTGTTCATTCTACATACGTAATTAGGCACCTACATATGCAATTGAAGCCATCTCCTTGGTAGCCTGGCTTGCAGCGGCAATTATACGAACCAACTGTGTTGATGCAATCAGCACGCAACGGATGGCACAAGTTTTTAAAGGGTTTGCATTCGTCAGCATCTGTAAAAAGAGAGGTAGTCGTCTTAGATACAGCATGCCAGATCAGTTAAGAGTTTACTTATTTGTTTCACCCTCTGTACCTAGCCAAGAATCTGCGTGGAACACTGTATCGTCTGGGTGCCCTTTCTGGTTGCTCTTCGTTTGGTAAACGATTTTTGATAATGCTGGACTATCTTATATAACATGAATATGTGATCAGAAAGAGCTACATAACTATTTACTCCGAACCAGCCTGTGTAACCAGTGCCACTTCTCACTAAAGAAACGAACAAAATAACCCTTGCTAATGACGAAGCGCCGCAGCGGTTCGCGTAGTGTCTCTGAATCGTCGCCAAGATAAGGCCTTCAATTTGCGAACACGTATTAACATGCATCGACCAGCGACCCTATGCGGATCTCTGCAGAGAATTTCGGAGGTGTCTCGAGCGCAGGAAGAATCAAGCCGTGGACGGAATGAAACGCCTGCTTAATCAGAGTACAAAAGTCAAATTTTAATTGTCAAGTATGGCCTCACTAATGGACCAAAAAGGATCACCTGTACCGCCATTTAAAGCATGCAACTGATTAGCCCTACAATGCAAACGACTTAATGTTCGTATTACCTGAACAGACTTGTCCGTCGCCTTCCCAACCTTTGTCACATTCACACTGGGGTGGACCGTCATCCAAAGGCTGGACACATTGGGCATGGGTATCACACGCAACGCCATTACAGTTTCCCTCAGCTGAAAGGAAAGGACAATATTAAAAAACAGCTTCTATCAGTTTCAACTGTCATGATTGTGACTCCATGCCGCAAAATAAAAATAATGTTAAAAATAATGTAACAGACACAGCCCAGAATGAAGGAGATCCTTTTGTGACATTTATACCTGGACCTACCTCTTTCGCAACGGAATCCATCACCAGTAAATCCTGCATTGCATTCACACTGAAACGAGCCATTCGTGTTGATGCAGTTTGCGTTCAGGTCACACGGACTTCGAGTAAGATTGCACTCGTTTTCGTCTAAGGAAAAAAAAAAAAAGA